ACAGCGCAACAAAACACACAACAAAGTACTACGGAAACAGCCTTGACGACAGGACTAAGAAATCTAACGGAACGGCACTGTCCTTTTGATGCCACGACGCGTCTGAGCCAACGCCTGACCGAGTTGCGCAAGACAAGATAAATGCCAGTTGATGAATACGCTAATGAGTTTGAGTATTTGCTGGAGCTGGAGGCGTTTGTGCAACTAGACGTCAGTCAAAACGACCGTGTGGCTTTGTTCCACAAAGGCATGCCAATGATTTGGAGAGAAAGTGTTGAGTTTATTCACACCCGGAACCCGAATGAATAAGGTGTGCGAGGTACCCGCCAGTTACAAAGTGTGTGAACGTCTGGAGATCTCGCGTCCACAACGCAATGATGATCGTCGCCAAGGAGCCTATGATAAGTTTAGCAAGCGGAGTTACAATACAAACAGTGGCAAGTTTTTAAGACAAAGTGGTGAAAATACTCAGCAGAGTCGAGATACAAGCAGTGGTAAGCGTAAGCGAGAAATAAAGCAGGACAAGGACGACAAAGGTTGCAAATATTCTGAAGAACAAGGTATGACCTTTTTCCGGAACCAACAAATCCGGAATGCTTCCGGAACCCGAAGTCGCCAAGTACCGACCAAATGCTAACAAACGTTTCAAAACGAGTATGGGAGACCGAAACACGATGAAGGCGGAGGTAAACGCAGTACAATTCGACGAAGATGAAAGCAGTGACGTAGACATGGAGGCAGCCAACGCAGGCCTGGGGTGTAATAGTCATGGGCAACATGACATCGCAGTAGCACGAGCGCCAATATCTACCAGTCGGGGGATGCAAGTGCGCGTCCAACGGAGTTATCCACTTTCAAAGAAGACGTTCTTAGCGTTACTTTACTCGGGATGCAGCAAGTCTACAGTAGCAAAGGAGGTAATATCGTGGTACGTGCCAAAAGGACGAGGCCAATATCGGAGCGCAGCTGGAAATATGGAGACGACTTGTGGAAGTATCGAGCTTCCTTTAAATATAGAAGATTTCTCATCATCTCGGCAACTAGCGCATGTGTTCCAAATTGCAAAAAAACATGTTTATCAAATCATTTTAGGGACTGATTGCTTGGAAAAACAAAGTATCGTATTCGATTTGAAGGAGCGAAACATTACGTGAGATGGCGTCACGATTCCAATGATTCTAGAACAAAAAACCTGCTTTGTTTGCTGTTACTAACCCCGACGAACGCGTAAATCGAATTTCGGATATGACCGGAAAAGCTGTGAATATTATAGTACTCGTTCCGAAAGATACGTTGTCGCTGGAGTCAACAAAAACGACTTAGTGCGGCGCTGCACGGTATCAAGGTTATATTTTTGGGATACGCTGGAAAGCTTAAATTGCTTCCCTTCGTATTGCCGATGAAGTCGGATGCAATACCATCAGCGCAGCACTGTACAGTGTTCCACACAATCTACAAGCAGCCAAATTGGAGGGGTTGGAACGTTTGGTCCGATTGGAAATTCTGGAGCCAGACAAAGACTCCTCTTGGGCTGCCCCAGCTATCGTAATCTCTAAAACCGATGACTCAGTACGGTTTCTCTCTGAATTTCGGCGACGGAATAGGTGGCTCTGGCGTAGCTACTTCCCGTTGCCCAAGATAAAAGACTTGATTCGAGAGCTTCCTCAACCTTGTTTATTACCACGCTCGATCTCGGAATGGGATATTATAGTCGATTACTTGCCCTACAGAGTAGATCAAATACGGCCATGCTTCCGTGGAAAAAATACCGCTGTTGTCGATTGTCTATGGGGATCAGCACAGCACCTCATGAATTTCATGCTGACATGACGCAGATATTGGGGAACTTCACATATGTACGAATTTACTTGGATGACGTCTTAACTCTCTCACAAACCTTTGATGAGCATCTCGAGCATATTCAGACTGTTCTAAAGTGATTAACGGACACAGGTGTTGTTGTGCACGCGGCAAAAAGCAAGCGTGGATTATCTAGGATACAGCATTTCCACGGAAGGAAAACGGTCCATTGCTTGTAAAGTGGAGGCGATACAGTGCTGAGCACGACTGCGAATCATCCGTGACCTGCGTCGGTTCATTGGTATGGTAAACTACTACATGGATTTATGGCCAAGCCGGTCGCAAACATTAGCACCCCTTACTGCGCTTACATCGTCTCGAGTTTCATTTCGTTGGGGGCCTCGCGAACAAGCTGCATTTGATGGAGCCAAGGAGATGATTAGTCAAGCCACGCTACTCGCGTATCCCGACTTTGATATCTACACGGACGCATCTGATTACCAACTTGGGGGGGGGGTGCTCATGCAAGAGGGCAAACCCTTGCATTTTGGTCTCTAAGTGCGACGACACACAGCGCAAATACGCTACCAACGAAAAAGAATTGCTCAGTGTTTGTTTGATGCTACGCGAATTTCGTTCGATTGTGTGGGGCAGAAGATACGAGTATTTACTGATCATCGTAATTCGACGTTCCAGAATATTACTAATTGGACAATGTTTCGTTGGAGATTAGATATTGAAGAGTACGGACCCGAGCGGATCTACATCCAGGCATGGATAACGTAGTAGCAGACGCGCTGTCCAGACTATCAATAGAAACGACTGGATACTTAGCTCACGTGGTCGCTACTAGCACTCTAGAAGGTGCATAACTATTCTCCCTGGCGCCAAGTTCAATCAAGGACGAACAAGTAAAAGCAATGTTGAAGCCGACAGATGGCGTGGTGGTGCGAGAATTAATTGGAGTTAAACTGCTTACAACCGTGAAAGATGGTAACATCGCTGTTCCACTGCCGCTGCGACCCGCCATTATGCGAACCTATCATTAATGGCTAATTCATCCCGGATTTACTATCATGACAAAGTTGATCAAGGCTGTCTTTCATTGGCGTGGTGTAGATAATGATATTAAGAAGTGGGTCCAGCGCTGCCAAGTTTGTGCTCGCTGCAAAAGCCCCCCCCCCCTCACGCTGATGGTAAGTTCCCGACAAAGATGGTCGAAGTCCAACCATGGAATGAAATAGCTATCGCATCAATTGGATCTATAGGGCCGCGGAATTGGGGTGCAGTTTCAATTATAGATACTAGCACATGATTACGTGAGCTTGTCGTACAAGAAGACTCATCAAGCGCAGAAGCAGCGTGAATTCTAGACCGCGTATGGCTCAACAAATACCCTCGACCGAAACTTTGCATCTTTGACGCAGTCAGTGAGTTTAAGAGCGAATTTCGTGAGCTCCTCGACCCCCTTGGGATTGAAACTGCAACACGACGGTGGCAACCCGCAAGCTAATTTTACAATCGAGAGGGTTCACCGCTGTATTAATGAGAAATTACGATCTAAGTCTATCACAACCAAGGCTGAATGGGAAAACGGCCTGTCAGCTGTAGCGTACGCGCTGCTTACATCGCACCATACCATGGTGGGGTGTAGCCCGTCTCAACCAGCATTTGGCCGTGATATGATGTGCGATGTCCCGTACGAGGTCGACTAGAAAGCTCGACAAGAGCAGAAAATGGCTCATGTGGCAAAGGCTACCGCCAGAGAAAATGCCGGACGTGATACGCACGAGTGTGTCCCGAGCGACCTGGTCATGTCAGACAATGACCCGCGGCGAGCGAAACTCGACCCAGTCTATGCTGGGCCCTACGAAGTGGATGCTGTACGCAGCAACGGCTCCGTCGTGAACGCTATCAAGATACCATTCACATGCGCCAGCTCTGACCTGCCTCGTCGAAGATGGGGGACTCTGTTATGATGTAAGGAGACTCAGGATGAATCTCCTCCTTAGACAGTAATCGGAGTGAGTTTATGATTTACAAGGTTCTAGGAAAGTACTTCATAAAGGCCGGACTAAAGTTAAACGATATCACTTTCCCTTATTCTCACAAGCGAGCTACGACAAACGTGAGCATGTATCTCTCATAGAGACAATGACCCACTCAGCCTTGTATTGGCAAGTACGTTGCATTGGAGAGTCCTCTGATGAGGAGGACAATACCCCACCAAATGTGCCTCGCGGCAAGACCATGCAAACTCGCGTTACGAAGGCTTAGTCATTGGGGTCCGACAGATCTACAGGCACTAGAAACCCTCCATGGCCACCGCCATAAAACGGTGGGGGGAAGCCGAAGTCTGTGACAAATCCCTTACCTGCACAAGCGCCTACCGTCCCAACGACACCACCTGACCGAGCGCCACGCAGACCCACGACCTCGTCCCCAGTACTGCAGGAGACGCCTCCAGCACCTCCTCGGTCATCTGACCCCACGCCACTTCGTGAAGCCGTTCTCGACGTGAGCATCAAGCCAAAAAACACCCGCTTAGCCAAACCGCTAGGCAACGGCGGGAACCGGTATCTCCATCGGTGAATTCAAGCGTCCTCATGCGGACTAGCCCCACTTCAGGTCCAAGGCCCGCGCCACCAATTCTTAGGATCGATTCCTACCCACCACGTGGCCATATCAAGTAGGCCAGTTACGAACGCTGTTTAACCCGACCGGTGTGGTATTTACGAAGGTGCCCCACTTCGGTTGGTGCGAGGGTTCTCACCATGCCAAGTGGGCACCTGTCAGAACTGGTTGATGTAGCCCTTGTGCACTCCGGCCTGCTGCCCTTACGATACCAAATGTGGCAACAGTTTGGAGGATTCATCCAAGGTCTACTTGGCAAGGGACATGCGCACGCGACAGCTATCTGTTGTTGCCGCAGAACGCATTGATGCTGGTGAGGTGTTCGGAGAGTATCTCGGTTAAGTCGAACACGTAAGTGTTGATCCAACGCGCTGCCCGCAAAACGAGGCCTACCGACATGTCAAAACTCAGAGACCGGCTACCGAGACACCCGATGCGTGTTTCTATTAATGCTGCTCACTTTGGTGTCTTAATGCGGTTTGTAAACCACTCGAGCGCACCGGTCGCGCAGCTCGTCGAGGTTGCAAACGGACGTCGGACTACGGTTGTGGTGACCACTCCGGAGGATGCACCAAGGTGAAGAGATAACGGTGGACTACGGAAGAGGTCTCTGGTTTGGCTATCGCTGCGGTGTTGATGTTTGCCGCCACCGCGATATTTAGAGCCAGCATGATATTTAGTAAACGTATTGCTCGTCAAATAGCAGTCGTAGTGAGCTGTGTGGCGTTGGTAAGCTCATTTTCTTCATCAATTTGGATGTAGCAAGCACTGATAATCTACTTTTACGTTGAAGTATAGCTGAGCTCCTCTTTCTTTTGAACTTCACGCTCTTGTGAAACAGCGTCGAGAAACGATTTCGCACCAAAAGAAAAGAACCTACTAGACTTACGTGCTACTGACTTATCTTTGCGATCATTGCGCCCCCTCATGCGTTCACTTTGGGCTCGAGCCCGGATGCGTTTGTGTCGCGCGTGAGCTCTCACTACCGACAGCACGCAGTCTCCTTGAGCTCTCACTTTTGGATATACCAAACATCGCGCAACCTCAAGCCACGCGACCGACCAAACTTCCTGACGCACCTTCACCAACACGGTACGCGGTTTTGTGTTGGACATGTTGCTGACAAAACGCAGTCGGTCTGCTGACGACACCGACAGCAGACGCAGCGCCGACTGCGAGGCCAATCGATAAGGCGCCTGCTGGTTGCGTAAGTGATCAAGTGTAATTCAAGCGCTATCTCTAGCTCACTTATTCTTCAAACCGACTGGGAGGGGGTAATCTGGCCGCCTTTAGCGACACTGCTCAGCGCAAGCGAGCCGCAACGGACAACGACTACCTATTCGAAGCAGGCTATCGCCAACGTCAAGCGCGTGAAAGTGACCAAGGCGGCAACCCAGCTGAAGACGCGGCTCGAAGTCCCGGAAAACACGTTTAACAACATGGGCGGCAATATCATCGATCTGACGGTAATGATGCGCGCGAAGAATGAACGTCGCGAGGGAGATCACCGAGCTGATTAAGAGCAGCGCAGACGTACTGAAATTGTCGCGAGCGAGTCACGCTACCAAGCCGAGAGACTGGAAGCTGACCAACGCCGGCGTCGGGAAAAGCTGGAAATAGAGGAACGCACCAGACGTGATAAGGAGAAGGCGCGCGCGCGCACCAGGATCAGATGCTCTTCAGCAGCACTCTGTCAAAGAAGGAGTAGGGTACGAAGCTACCGGACGACCAGTACGGGAAATTATCGAGGTTAAGAGGTCGGAAATGCATAATGTAGCGTTGTATCTTACAAAAACCTCTCGATATGGAGTCAACAAACCACCAAAACAATCCATTTACAATTTGTTCACCGCCAAGATCACTTGTATTCATTCAAGGGCTAAATGATTTAAAGTAGAAGTCGATTGAGCAATTCAGCTTTAAAAAAGGTACAGTCGCCGTATTACACTGTCAGCCCCATCGCATTTGAGAAGGTGGTGCGAATGCCAGAGATACGACACGGTAATAAGCCATTTGAAAGCGATTGCTCAGTCGCAACCTGCATTAGCCTGCGCCGGGAGCTTGTATTCGGCGTTCTGCGTCCCAATGCTACACGTGCTAGCGCCAGATCCAATTTGACTAGGTATGGATCCGACGGAAAGCAAGTATAACTACAATCATAGCTGCACACGCATCGTGGAGCAAGCATTCGGCCGCCTCAAAGGCATATTCTGCATATACAAACAACCATTCCAGCAAGGGACACCAGAGTACATGGTGATGATCATCGTGGAGACGCTCGTGTTGCACAACTGGTTAATTGATCTGAAGCATAAAGTGAACAAGAAAACCCAAGCACGATGGCTAAGGAAAGCGTGGCGTCGTGCGACGAATGATGGCGTCGTGCGACGAATGATGTTCACGTTCAGGAGCATGTAAATGCAATTTTCGCGTTATTCTTCGGCGCTGTAGACTACGTCGTATCTCCCAGTAACGCAGCACTTTAAAACATAAATTCGTAGACATTTGTCTCTTTAAAAAACGTAAGTAGCTGAGTGTTCACATCTCTCGATTGATCCACCGCATCTCGAAGTTGATCGAGCAATGTCATGATGCTAACTTGCGTTTGCTGAGCGCTAGATGTGCTCTTGAGCTCAACTTTCAGGTACGGCTAGAGCTGAGACCAGTGACTCACCAAAAGGAACAAGAGTTCGGGGTAGATCTAGCTTCTTTCACCTTCGAAGCGAATCGTGCCGGTTAATTTCTTGAGCAATTGCTTCATCACGCGTATAGTTCAGCTTAACATCGGTGTTGGAGCCCTCCATACCGGAGCTGCTGTCACCGTATCTGGATCCGCCCTCCAAATGATCGTTGGCTCCGTCCCAATTTATGTTACCATCCTCTCTAAAGTTCTGATACGCGCCCGAAGGAAAGGGCGACTGCTTCTCCCCGGGGATTGCGATGTCGTCGATAGTCTCAATGACAGCGAGTCACCCTCGTTATGGCTGGACGGTGGCAGCTCGTCCGGTTAATCTTCGTCACGTTCGAACCGATAGCTATTCCTCCTGTAAAGACACCGCTGCCTGGTTGTGTGGCATCGGTGGCTCAGACTGCCCAAAATCCTGATTGCACAGTCATTTCTTGTCTCCAAAGTAGCCTACAAGCAGCGGCCAGTAAGAGGGTAGGCGATAGCCTTCTGATAGACATCTCATCCGCTCGAATATCTGCAAACTGCGCGGTCAAGGCTTGATATATGTTCTTTTCTTGGTTGATATTTGCTGCAAGGTAGTGCTTCTTGTTTAGCTTGCGTCGAACGTTTTCCCATAGCTTGGAAAGCTGCGCTCGCGCGTTGTTCTTGAAAAAGCTGAGCTCATACGTAACTACCCTGGCTTGTAGTAGTGTCTGCACTCGGTCCTCCGACCAAACCAGCCGAGGATCTCGGGGGACTTTGTGTGTCTCTGACATCTCAAAATGGGATCTAGAACTGACTCCCACCACAATTAGTAAAAACGATAGTAGGGCATTACCACTTCGACCCTTCGTTTTTGTTTTTTATCTCTGCTCGCTAATCACTTTTTACCACATCGACCTCGCCTAAGCAGAACCTGGAAAATTTTCACTGTCTTTATGTTCGGACAAACATGCCCATTATCTTTAACGTGGAAGACGAAGTGGGACTACGGAATCTGGAAAGCGTCACAGAGTTTATGAGGCTATTTTAAAAATTATGCCGACCTATAGAGTGAAATCCCACTGCATATCTGCAGCAGATATGTGCTATGATTTCTTCATTTGTGGAAAGCGTCCATAGAATACGTAGATCAAAATCACTTTCAAGAATAGCACTGCGCAAATCTTATAGCCCGAATAAACCGAGGCGGAGCGCTGCCCAATTTTTTTTTGAAGTTGCACTATTTTCCTAAGAGCATTTTCACCCGTTTGGACAATACTAAAGTCAAAATGCGAACTTAAGCGCATCGTTTAAAGCTGAACAATTCAACTAAACCTTGACAAAACTTTGACAAACGCCCCTACATAATAATATTATGTCATATTTTATTTGTAGCCCATGTTTCACAAATCTACACAATCTCAGCTAAGCAAACTGGGAGCCAACCACTGCTTAGTTGGTTGGCAAGTCCTTGGGATTGCATCCAGCTCAGTCCTTCTCATTATTCAATTCAGCATGCCTTTGACAACCCCAGCAATGTACACTGTACATGTATCTTGGAATATTGCTCTTATCAAAACAATAACGTATTTGTCAAAGTCGAATGTTTACCTGCAAATTCTGATTTCACAAAAAAGCAAGAATCTGAATAATCCGAAAGCCTGATTCCCATATTGAGTAAAACTGGCACGAGCTGTATTCCTTTCCGTTTTATAAATTTAGCGGTCAATTTTTGCAATGTCGCTGATTAGTTATCGACTAAATCAATAAATAACTGGCACTAAACAAAAGGCCTTAAGTCCAAAAAAAGAGCCAAACTTTTGAAAGTATCACGGGAGTTTTGTTGCTGCTGCTCGCGTTGATGCGATTTGGCATGCGAGCTACTTCCATCTCGGAGCGATGCGCTGACAAGCCATGCGAAGCAGAGCTCACAATAATTTTATTTTGATTAACAGCATTTGAGAAATTACGCATGGCTTCAATGAATCAGCTATTCCAAGCTTGCACAGCATAGGTTCGACACGGGGGGGGGCGATTATAATTATAATACAATATTCGCAAAAATTGCAGCTCTAAATATGTAATTAAAGGGTGCTTGATCGGAGTCACTTTGCGTGTGCCGGTGAGGGGGGGGGGGTAAGCTTCGTCTCCTTTCGAAAGGGAAGAGAATCCGGTGGAACAGTTGGCTGGGGGATTTATGGAGCCTGGTAAATTTATGACGGCAGCAAGAGGAACCGTCTTCGAACTCTTCCATTAGCAGTTTAATTCCACTTAGCAGCGTGATCATATAATATCCTACTACCGGTCTATCGATTATATTCCGATTTCTCTCATCTGTTCTCATCTCCCACCGATCTTGGCGAGGTGCATTTGTCTCGTGCAAACTTCGATTTCAAACATGCTGGTTCTGCTCCAAGAGCATAAATTGTTTAGCTACGTGACCAACAAAAGCTCTACATTAGTCGAGGCTTCGTGAAATACCCTTCCTGACCGTACAGGCCGAAAACGTATTTTTCTGTCAACCTACCTTTGTGGGGCATCCACGGAGCATGCTGAGAGCGCTGCAGCGCTAAAAATTATTCACGGCACTCGTAGAATCTTAACCCTTCACCGCCGCATCCAAACCTCAATACTCGAGCAGTTTCAGTAATTCAATCAAAGCCTTGGCTTGTTGTGCAGAGTACTTCAGCGTTAGTATACTACTTGTTACTTTGATGCATAAACAAGCTCAGCTAGTACCACGAACTAGTGGAAGCGGTGAAATAAAAGTGCTGGAAGTGCAAGTTTACCGAAAGAAAACAGTTTTTTATCGCCCTTTTTACTCAGAGATCGCTACCGCTTAAGCCGTAGCGTGCATCCCAGTATTCGAGTGGGAAGAGCGTCAGACCGTACGACGGTGAGCAATCTACAGCCTGAACGAGTGTATCCCAGTTCTCAGTCGACGCGTTCATAAGTAGAGAGGAGTGACCAATCTGAAAAGGAGCGCTGAACTCGGAGGACGATCCACTCATAATACTCTCGAGTTCATAGCAGTACGGCGTACCCCCAGCAGCCACAAGAGGCGCGACCCCAAACATATCCTCAACGAGGGGATCCATCCAAGACCAAAAGAACGAGATACCAGTATCGGTGACGTCGAAATGGGACAAAGCAGTGGACGGCTCAGCCACATATTGAGGTAGTTCGGTGAGCTTCGTCCCTCCAAGAGTGAAATAACCCAGTACTGCCTCGAAGAGCTCCGATGGAAGCCGGGTGATTGGATTTCCTCCCGCCATGAGATATAGCGGCTTTAACCGGGCAAGAACGCGTGGGATTTCTGTCAGTTTGTTGTTCTCCATATAAAATCCGGCGCGCAGTGGCCATTTCGAATCAAGGTCGTCAGGAAGAGCTTTCAAATTCGTCTCGCAGAAGCTGATTCGACTCAACCGTGATGGAAAATCTGGTGACTGAAACCCAAGTGGAAGAAGCCCATCCGTCATATTGACACGAACGACAGATAAAACCTCCATTTCTGGGTGATTTAGGCTTGTGCTGTACCCCAATCAACAATTGTTGTGTTGTACACTTCGATCTGCTGTAAGCCGTGAAATTCAAGAACACTTGAAGGCATTTCCAACGCCGGACAGTGGAGAAAACGGAGTGTCCACGATGTCGTTTTGTCAAATTTACTCCACTCATTGTGAACTTCATCCAAGCTACCAGAAATCCCCATCGCATAGCAGTCAAAGTTCACTACATTACACGAAGGCAGTAGATTTGCCATCGGATGCACTTTTGCAGCGCATTCGTAGAGGGGCTTTTTAATCGAAGCTTGGATGTGTAACCCCATGAGCACAATTCCCCAAGCAGCATTTGCAATGTAAACCATTTTCAACGCAAGGCGCCGACGTGGGGGTAGTGACTTAACTACCTTGTAGCAAGCCCTAATCGTGGTGAAGCTAGCATCAGAGACGCGATTATGAACCTCTTTTGCGGCGTCTGTATATACCGGCACGACACTCGAAAGATTGTTTACGGTACTCGTTTCATTCACAACGCGATTTCCATTGCTTGGACCGATTCGAAGCAAATCCTTCAAGCCTGAAGTGCTAGCAACAAGCCCCAACGTGAAAGCGACACGGCTCATGAGATCCGACCACGAAACTACGACGACTATTTGCGCTTCGTTAAGCAACTGAGCTACCCACACTTCGTCTCCCAATATCGAGGAATTAAAGCCAAGAGCTTCCGCGCGATACATATCAAGATAGCTCAAGGTGATGATGAGAGGCATCCCCAAAGTTGACACGAGATTCAACACTACGTCGCACAAGATCACTGCAAATCGACGACGAGCTTCGTGTTTCCAGAACCAACGAGACTCGACGAGGATACATGACCAGCAATTAACTGCCACTAAGCTTACGTAGAAGCGGTTAAGTAACAGGCGTGGCAAGTGTTTACTCATTCGGATAGCTTGTATGGTCTGGAGCGTTGTCTGGAGCAGTTCTCGACAAATAAAAACAGAGTGGAAATATTTCCCATTCACTCCAAGAAGTCCTTGTCGACCAGCTATTTTTTGGTATAACCTTGATAAATGTATCCCAATTTTATCACAACATCCACATCTTCTCGCATGTCTTTGTTTCGTGTTAGGAATAATCCTAGCTGAGGACTGCTTCGAGTTCCAAAGTGAGAATTGCAAGGTCCAGTGCGTAAGTGAACCGATGATCATCAGTAGCGCACCTACGCCATGCATCAACGCTAGCAGTATGTACACGTACGATACGGTGAGGAAATATTGACGAGGTATGCTGATCCGGCTTAATTCGAGAGTGTAGCTCAGAAACGTGTCACCAAAGTTCCAGTAGAACAGGGCGTACACTGCATTGTAGCCACATGCAGCACAGTGCACACCGAGGATAATGACCCACCAGAAAATGAACCAGCGCAAAGAGACTCGAACACACTCCTGCTGAGAGCGTCGAGCCGTCGGTGTCATGTTGTCAGACCTTTTCTAGTGATAAAATAAACTAACATCGAGTAAATTGTCGCATCTCTATATTTACAACTTGAGTACTATATCGGGTATGCCCACAATAAGTGTGTCAGAGACGTAGCCCTCCACAATTTATCGACTGCACAACTGAAAAATAAATTAATCTTTACAAATATTGCCATATTCTTCTCACTGCAATGTATCCCTGGCGGGAATGCTCTAACGGAAGAAGTACATGAACCTCTTTAGTTAGATGACAAGCGCCTTTTAAGACTAATACGTATTAGTATTAGTACAACCTCGGATTTACAGCTCGATGGATCCAGCAGCACGTCCCTCTCTCCATTTTTAGTTAAATAGTATTTTAAATGAAGTAAATACTAAGCGGATCTGCAGATCTGGGGCTGCTCAACCAGGCGCGAGAGGCACGGGCGAACTTGACTCGCTCCAGAACAAAAAAAAACAATCTTGCTGCGCTACGAAACGCTCGGTACAAACGCGAAAACAGTTAGGCGACCAAGCGGCGCTCATCGTGTGGGCTCGTAGAGCTGCTGGAGTCGTTGACGGAAGAGGTGACGGTCCGCGAGTCGGAGGTTCAGTCGTTGCTGCTCTTCAACCAACGAGCCCCGCACAATCGTGAGCTCAGCGTACAAGTCCTGCGGTGAGATATGGCGCTTACCGTCCCGGAAGGCTTCTGCCGACTTTTCGTTGCGCTCTTCCCACCGCTGAAGCACCGAGGTGAATTCGCTCTCGAGCTGGGACACCTCCTCGCGCAGATTTTTGAGTGCCTCGCGCTTTTTGTAGTAGCAGCGCTTGACAAAGAGACGGTTCTTGGCTTGCTTCTCCTCGTTTGAAAGCCGCTTGGTGGAGAGAACCTTGGCGCTACTGCGCTTTTTGAGCTTACCGGAGGGACTGGGTTTGCTGAGCTCCGAAGAAGGAGAAGACGAGGCCGAGGACAGCGGTGTGTGCTGCTCTGGGTTCATGCCGGTCATGTCGAAAAAGTCGAGCGAAATAGAGAGCGGTTGAACGGACGGCGGCATGCTCGTGGTGTAGGCGGTGGTGGCGATAGCTGTCGTAATTGTGGCTGACGTGGGACCGGCCTCGAAACGGGCAGGTTGAGCGCTGTTTACAGGTGATTGTTGTTGTAGTAAGTAAATCCGAGAATGAGTTTTGTCCGCTCCAAGGCCGCCTCATGATACTGCCGGAGGCGAAGCCGATCGCAGGGAAGGCAGCAATGCACATGGAAGAAGAGGTCGCGAGCATGCTGACCACCATGTTGCGACTTTCGAAGGTTAACACGACTGCCGTACTGTAGAGAATAAGATTCCGCGCCTTGCTATGCGCGCAACGAGTCTAAGAGTGACACTGTTCGGAACAACCGCTGGACGCTGGACCAATGGCGACCCGCTCTCGCTCGCCCCAAAGTCTCCGCTGCCAACACGCCGCCGATGACGAGCTGCCAGCTATAGATTTGTCGAAGTAGAGTACTGTACTTCGGAAGTATTGTCCTGCTCCGTGGCGGATATTGGCTGCTACTCTTGCCGTGGCGTGTCCACTTCGGTGCGCGGTGTCGGCATTGGCGCTAAGGATTGCTCCACTAGTCGCTACTTCACAGACCTGTCGGTGCGTTCGCGCCTGTCAGACGTTGCTCTTCAGTCGTATCGTATCGCACGCCAGACGGCGTGATTCGCTCGCCGGCCACTTCAACGTCGGTTGCGGGCCGGAGAGTTGGGCCTTTTTGATGAGAGTTGGGCGCTTTATTTCATGAGATTTGGGTACTGCTTCTTATTCGTGTGAGATTTTGCCCACGTGGCGTAGGGTGCACACTGCAGTCTCCCGCACAAGAGGGGCATGGTCGTAGCCAAGTTCGTGTGCATTCGTTCGTGCCACGAATCGTGACCGTCGCGGTGGGGGCGGCTTGTTGCACCTACAAATCCGAGACGTGAGATGCGAGTAATAGAACTTTTGTGACGCTATTTTCGAGCAAAAGCGGCGACGGGGACTCATTTTCTTGGCTGGTCTAACTGCTCGCAGGTCGCGACGGCACAACCGTCAAAGACATGGCTTGCCGACGTCGAATGTCGAATGTGAGCGAGGAAAGCCGCATTACTACGAGGGAGTGGCCAAGTGCCATGCCGCCAATGATGTCTTCGTGTTCACGGTCTTGGACCGACTTGTACCAGCTCGATACAAGAACGAAAAAAAATCCGGTGCCCCCCCCCTCCTCCTAATACATGTATCTCCATTCTGTTCATCTTCCAACACCGAACCTTCGTATAAATTACTGTGGGATGTTGCTGACAAGCCCTGCTTCGATTGCCGCTGTCAACGACAATGGCCGATTCTGTCTACAACGCTGAACGTTGCATTAATTATTCGTATTTACTGTTTTGTGAACGACTGTTTACTTTTACCGTGCATCGAATGCTGGCGTCTTGTAGCTTCATGGTTATCGTAGGGAGACCAAGAAATACTTGCCCCGAGCTTCAACTTGAAGCACATCATTCGTGATCATCACTCTTACGAGTTGTAAAAATTAAGCTCGTGGTAAGTTACGACGAACTTAATTTTTTTATTCGCCCCAAGATTAATACTCTAATTAGTTAGACTAATACCGTGCGTTTCCCGGGAATATTAAATCTTACGTGAAATGTTTACGTAGTACTTACTAACGGCCGTTCTTAGCCGATTTCTTGCAAGTGGATGAGAGTTAAGGTGGATGGTACTTTTTGTGCTTGATTCGGCTAAGAACAAATTTAAAACTGGTGGATGGCCTTAGTGGCTAAGGTTGAAGAAGGGGTGGTTGACATCTAATATTATCTTATAACTGCGATGTATCACTTTGATCGCTTTGCATTTGTTCTCTTCCACTATCGCAACGAAATGCGCACACCCAGCGAGATCATAGCGATCACTCGTCGTCTTCGCGATCGAGCCAACGTCCAAACGATACTGCTGCTGTTTGTTCCACTACAACGCGTTTAGCCGGACCTTCCTCCACACCTAGACGTTGCATCTCGCTGAACGCGCGCTTCTGTTGCATTAATAACGCAACACATCCTGACTTGTGGTCGTTGGCGTCCGGGCCCTTTTTAACGATACCTAGCTGTCGAAGGTAACACTCTGTGCGAAGTTGTTTAGCTTCAAATGCCATCAGACACGATTCGGCTTCCTCTAGATTCATGGTGCTGTTGTACATGACATCACCAATAGTCTATGCAGTCGCGGGAATGCCGCCGTCAGATGTAGCGGTAGTTGGAGGTGCCGTTGGTGAAGGCAAACGAGGAGACATAACGGAGGAGGAGGGCATGGCGATAGATTGACAGGGGACCGTTGGTTGCTGATGTGGACTGAGTGCTTCAGGAGACTTGATGGAATGAGCTGTATAAACTCCAGCCAAAGGTGTCGGTCTATCCCGTCAGGTATGTCTCTCCTCCCGTCCACCTTCCGTCCACGGCCACCAACCCTAATTTCACAGAGTGGACGTGGATTAAATGGACCATACGTAGGGATGGTTTTGGACTACTTTTAAACTATACAAAACACTTCCAGAAAACGTCCAATGTTCCGTTCAAAATTCAAAAGCATGCAAAACTAACAGAAATAATATTCTCAACTCGAGGTGCAGACTTATAGACACTTTTGGACTTCCGAGCAGACATCAGCAGACCCAGAGCTGCATCGACGGCCACCAAGAGCTGCTATAAGGATCACTGCGGCCGCTGAGAGCTACCGCAAGGACTCCGGGGCTGCTGAAGGAGACTGATGGCCGCCCCCAGCTGCAGTAAGAACGACGGCGGCAGCCCTGATTCTGCTGGAAGGGCCACGACTACAGTCCAGAGCTGCTGGAAGAATGGAGACCCCGACTGGAGTTGGTGAAAGGGCGACTACGACCGCCCAGAGCTGCTGGAAGGATGGTGGCCGCCTCCCAGAGCTGTTGTAAGGAGAACAACGGCTTCCAGGGCTGATGGATAGACAAGATGACCACCCAAAACTGCTGTAAGGCCATTCAGAGCTGCCGTAGGAGCAAAAGCTGTCACAACGATGATAAAGGCATGTAAGTCGTGGCGTACTTACTACTTGTATCATTATTATACTGCTAGTTGCACTGAAGTAAGCAAACCCAAACAGGAGATACATTCAATGCGAAAGACGAATTGTTGTTTTTCTTTATGCTACTTTGCAGTATTAGTTTATTGGCAATATCGACGCTGGCGGAAAACGATAGGATTGCCGCCGGCAAAACAATCAGCACCGTTCGTGATTACGTGTGAAGTCGAGAGTCTCGACCCGAGACGATGTCTTTTGAAGGGAGGTGGTGCTGGTACAGTTTTTCGTAACTAAGGAGGTGAAAGGAATTGTATTCAAGTTAAAGTTTCGTGATCGTTATCAATGCTCTCAGGACACGATTGATGTCGAGCAAGGTCGATTTCACCACTTCGAATTGTACCGTAGCTGATGTAAATGTATGCCAGCATTTCAACCTTTTCGACTGAGAGTCTGTTCCTGCGCTTGGTGTGAATATGATCAAAGATGCTCCAAGCTCTCTACCTTGCTGCCGAAGATGTCGGTATCGCAAATACAATCGCAGCTACCTTCTTCAAAAGGCGGTAGTTCTTTTCATCCTTTGCTCCCCCAGATATCCCGCGGGCATGCTTCAGAATACATTCTTCGTAAATCTTCACCGCCCCTCCGTTTCATGCATTTAAACTTGAGAATCTCAGCAGTTAACTTTGCACATTAGCAGGGGTTATCAGACCGCACCTGATTGCCAAATTGCAAACTTGATCGTCAACATTTTCGTCATCATCACCGACGAAGTCGTCGAGGTTGGTTGTTGGATCTAGCAAGAAAGCAACGGCCATCGCATTTGTGTGGACGTATTTCCACCGTTTTTTCATCTTCCCGCGGAAAAAGGTTTGGAGTTCATCAAGTGGAGCTGACGTAATACTTGTATACTCGCCATCATCGCGGGAATCTGGATTCGATGTAGCCCCACTTTCGTGTTGATTCTTAGTATGGAAAGTAGAAGATAGAATTTCAACCGCGTCGCTGAGCACCCCGATCCCAGCACCGTCCTGGTCATGGCCTTCCTGTTCCAAGTCGCTTTCTGCTGGCTCTGGTTGCGGCTGTTCTCCTTCAGGCGATGTCACACCGTATGCTGTGTGATACCGCAGCCACTGAAACCACTGATAGACTCCTGAAATAAATCCACTGTCCGCTTCCAGCGTGCGCAGGGCCTCTATAATGGAGTCAAACATGCGCACAATAGTTCTTAAACTGCTCCAGAAACCATCGTCACGAACCAATCCATTAACGTAGCGTAGTTTTTTCGATTTGATGGGGTTCCACGATAGCGGTCTCTAAACGTCTCGAAACTAAAGCTAACAAAGAGTTTTTTTCCAGGATCTCCTGACTATTTAGCACATTCCGCATGCATGCGTGGACAGAGTACCAACGTGTTGGTACAGGCAACACTAGAATCCTGGCCCTCATTCCAGCCTCTCGAACCCCTTGTTGCAGACGCTTGAACTCATCAAATAGAGCAAGATGGTCCCTTATGAAGCGAGTGACAGTCACGGCTCTTGACACAACAGCTTGAACGGCGGTAAAGTGAGAAACGTCCTGCATCAGTAAATTTTAAACGTGTGCCGCACAACCACCACTGATAACGTTTGGGCGCCTGGTCTGGACCTGCCCTGACGCACTTCGCATGTTACTAGCATTATCCGTGACGGCGCCAACTACTTCAGCAGTCGTCTCCTGCTCGATATCAGCAATAACTTTGTCGATTTCGTCAGCAAAGTACCTGGCCGTGTGCTGTTTTGATCTCGTGGACCATGACGACCAGAGTATGGAAGGCATCCCTGGGGCAACCACCATGAAGTTTATATTGCTGGAGCCGTTCGTATTCGTCCAACCATCGCTAACGAGTGGCACGTAGGTATGTGCGTTGATCAGGTCAATAACTTTCGAACGAATTTCATCGCGTACTTGTTTCAACAGCACCATACTCAACCTGTGACGTGAAGGTAACTTCACTAACGGTGCTACCAAAGCAATAAAGTCGCGGAATACTTGAGCTTCAAGTAGCATAAATGGTAGAGCACACAAAAAAACACCCGTGCAAGTGCCATTTCGTACGTGTCCTGATCAATCTCCCTTTTCGCCGACTCTGCAGTCGGTTGTGACGGTGTCACCGCTGGTACAGAAGGTGGTGTTGGTCGTAGAGAGATCTGCACATCTCTAGGGACATTAGAACACTTTTTGGCCTTCACCAGGTGGTCCAACAAGTTGCCACTCGGCTTACCGTTCTTCTTCAGAACGCCGCAATAGTTACACCGCCCGTGTTTCTTACCATTCTCACGTTCGATAGTGTAGTGTTTCCAGATGTCGTCCCGCGGGCGTCCTCTCTTCAAAGGAGACGCTCGTGGTCGTCGTGACGACCCTGGAGTACGGGGTGAGCGCGCTGACGTTCGAGGAGTACGCGGGAAACGGAGTGTAAGGGGAGATCGAACAGGCGTTGAAGTGCGGGGGGGATCGAGATGAAGCTACAGCTCGTGGTAAGCTCGGCGGGGTTGGGGTAGGGGGGGGTTGCACTGAGGGCGAGGAGTTGGGGGGAGGCGATAACATCACTCTACATGAGCTTGCTGGTGACCTTGGGCGGCCTTCGAGAGGTCTTAGAGGTGATGAATCCCTCTGGTAGGGGCTGTAACGAAGCGTTCTCTGTCGTGACGAGCCTGGAGGCGATGGAAACCTGCCGGAAACGGAGCGTTGGCTGCTTGGATACACTGCAGGTAAGGCTACCGGGAGCGGCAAGCTCTCCAATTGAGGTGGCGAGTTGATCGCAGCTTCCTCGGTTGTAGTCATGGGCGTAAAAAGTTTTCCTTACTAGTAACTGTGCCTTTGAGATCTCGACTTTGGGAAATCCTCACTGGCTTTCAGACTTTTGGATACTTCTAAAGTGTTTATAACATTCTGAAGCATTTTAAACGTTTTTTACACTACAAATCTGAAACCATCTCTAACCATACGGCGTCCACTGCCATTTGGATCCGAGTGAAATGATTGGGCCATGGAAGCATAATCCACCGTTATTTTTTGGCAAAGAACGGCCCTATAACCGAGTGATGATCACGAATGATGTGCTTCAAGTTGAAGCTCGGGGCAAGTATTTCTTGGTCCCTACGATAACCATGAAGCTACAAGACATCAGCATTCGATGCACGGTAAAAGTAAACAGTCGTTCACAAAACAGTAAATACGAATAATTAATGCAACGTTCAGCGTTGTAGACAGAATCGGCCATTGTCGTTGACAGCGGCAATCGAAGCAGGGCTTGTAAGGCCGTGTTCTTTCAGCGAGGCTTTATTCTGATTCTTACGGTTTTTGAGGTTTTATACAAACGTTTTTAGAAAAACCTAAAATGCCTCGAAATGCTTGGTTTTCAAATTGATGGTAAGCTATTTTCGATTGAGCTACTAAAAATAGGTAGATTAAATTATATATGTAGCTACGTTTTGGCTGAATCACGTTTTTCAGCGCTTAAATTGGCTAAACACGTAAATACAAAACTAATTTTATATGAAGAAAAAAATAAAAAAATAAACAAACCAGTAAGAAATGTGGCTTCCGTGACGTGCACCCACTGTGTACACGACAAACACGACACGCATCAGCAGGCCATCCCGATCACCGGGACGATGCACCACACCACCAACTTGTACTATTGATCCGTCGAATGATATTCTCCACAGTGTGGAGGGGTGTGTGCGCTAATGGACCGTAATCGGCTCATGGGTGCGAACAAAGCAATGTTGATTTTGTCTTAATTAACTTATCGAATATTTTTGAACATCCGTCTTCCTGTTAGATTCTAACTTTGAACTCGGTTTAATTTGGACTCTCAAACATATTTAAAAGCAAGAATCCTTGCACCAATTTGCGACTCATTTCTGGATTGTCCACCAAAAGCATGAACCTCGCCCAAATACGCCAGAGCACAATTGATCACAGCTCACAGACTGGTCCCCTTCCTTTTCTATGCCCCTACCGACGTCGTCAGCTTTTTATGTACGATTGAGCTTGAACGCTCTAGCGCTCCGTCCTTCTCTTTCACAGACAGTTGCACAACCACTCTGGCTAACACGAATCGCTCTTAAGCCACAGCGAGCATTTACCTTAATATATCCATCGCTTTTCGAGAGTAATTTCACGGACGATGGATTATTTGGCTAGTAACGGACGAACATATAAGCCTAACTTCCGAGCAGAAAAAAATTCCCTGCCATGAAATTCGATGAGAAAGCATCCAATTTTTGCTTCACCTGTCGGTTTGAACTAAACGTAAGAGGTGTGAGGCAAATTCCAAGAGTATCACTGAAATCCCCAATGGTTTTAGACTCCACCGAGTCGTAATCGGTCTTATTTTGTTCGATGGCAACATACCACGATAAAATGCGTCTAAGGTTGACGAGGCTACTAAAGTGAGCGACGCTCAAGCATTCACGGCTACTGACTGCCCGATTGCGGAAGGGCACTAGACATATCAAGACCGGCCGCGCCCCAGAAAACAGAGATCCAACATCTATGAAGTTCAAAACGGATTAGTCGTGTGATCCAAGCAGTAGAAGGGTATACCATACGCTATTTCCAAACGTATGGTAAGCAGTATTGAGCAATTTTTCAACGTTGCGTCATTACACCCCCCTTTCCCCATTTTCCTCACTCTTAATGTGCATACTACGTTACATCCGTGGATGTGCTCTATTAGCATGATGTGTCTCGACGTTAGCGTGGAAGGTGTTGCAGTTCACGTGGACATTTACTCCCCACCAACCCGACACTTTTTGGCTCCTTTTGTTAAGCGAAACCGAAGCTTCATTATCGTGACCTGCACCGTATATTTACAATACGGAGCTAAAAAGGTATTTACTATCTTGTATATTAAGCTTAACCTACCCCATTTAATGCCAGAAATATCATCATGACACGATAGTTACGCCCATTGTGTTTTTTTACTATCATGATTAACACGATACAGCTGGTGTTACAATGCTTTGATATTGCATATATCAGTCGGTCGTTCAGCTCGATCTGCGATATTTATTATTAATCTAAGCCTGCAATACAAAATACATATGTAGCGCGACTACTGCAATGATGGTGGTCACCGATAGACGATGGCCTCAGCCTATAGCTCTCCCCACAGACGCTCGTTTTGGCTAAACGCTGGCGCTATAGGAAGCTAGCATACCACTCCGTTTACTGTAGAAGGCTGAGGGCTTAAATTTGAGTTGAGCTTAAGTCAAGTATGGAAGGACTCATACCTTACATCTTTTGGCGATAGAGATAATAAATTACGTGCACAATTTAGACTATACCGCTTTCATGTATGACGCGCTGCATATCTGAGCGGTTTCTTCGGACAAGCATCTAACAAAAGAGGTTAAGCACGTCTGAAGCTCTCAGCAGGAATTTATTCGGGCCACCTGAATTGTTTTTTCGTCCAAGCCTTTTTAGTCGGGACAATAGTAGGTACCGCCCAACCGCTGTCCGACATGTCAGAAAGAATGGTTTTGCCAATTGTGTCCATACTAACACCCCCACCCCTCAGGGCAGCTAGATATCCATGTCGAACAGCATCTCCGGCTGGATTACAGCTTCTTTGTTTTGACCGGCACGATCAGTCGTGTCATGGAGCTCGCCACGGGTTATAAAATCAAGCCCGTTGTCGTTCTCACTTCGGAATCAAGGGTAGCCAGCTCGACCCATTCTTTGGCCACGTCCGTGATATTTTTTTTCTAGCAGAATATCATTGTACATACACGATAAGCATCCGATTTATGTTTCGGATCATGTATATACACGATAATTCCAACCACGCTCGCTTTTCTCACTTCTCCATAATGTCCATACAGCACAGAATGGCCCAGTGCGGATCACTGGTAGCATCGGCTTCTTCTTTCGAATCAACTTCATCAAATGTGGCTGCAAAATTACGCGTGGTGGTTCCAATATCAATATATAACACAAGAGCATAATACATAGTCAGCACAACCCAGCCTTATTCCACACATTTGTCTTGCGGTCTCACCTTTAAGTGCCAGGCATGTCAGAACCATGCCTGGCGCATGGTCAAGCTCTCGGGAACACTCGCTGCATCTCCAACACTCGCAGCAGTTGCCATCTCTACCTCGGCAGCGTGAACGGTCACAGAATCACTAACGTCGGTTTGAATTTGTTGAGCTGATGTTCCAACGTCTGCATCCTCAGCCGCATCTGATGCACTCTCCGCAGGCGCAGATGCAGTCCCTTTCGGGTCAACCCCAGCGGCCACAGGCCCGTCAACAACCTCCGTCACAGCTACGACCATGAGAGACGCAGTTGTCTGGTCGACTGAACCAGGTTCGCGTGGACAGATATAATAAGTTGTATTAGTCATGATATTTGAGCGGGGGTCGATATGAAATACTCCTCTGGCCCACTCTGAAATGACGATTTCTGTTTTTTGCAGGCTGCTCAAGACCCAGAGCTCACTAATCGACACAACGTAAGCCAGCTCAAAGCCCTCCGCTTAAATACCTCGCATTCAAAGAGCCGTTTTTTTGTCGCAGTTCAGTCAATTTTAGCAATATCACATCGTATTTTAAGGGCAGAAAGATGAGTCAATTACCAACCGTTGGACGCGTTCTTGTATGTAGGGATGGGTTAGAATCGCTACAAATTCGAAGAGACCGGAGCGAGGTTTATTTGTAAAAAACAGGGCATTAGTGTAAACCAACGAATTTTACTGACCAATCAGTGATTGAGTAGAATTTAATACAATAATTACGATTAAAAAAATTAAATTAACGCTACAAGATAACACTTAAGCCTACCGCTACATGTACCCAAGCGTTACCCCATCAAGCGCGATTGCCACCGACATAGGCATATGCCCATTGACTGCAACACCGTTTGTAAAGCGCATAAGTTTTTAATCTATGCCTCCACCGCTAATCAACACAGCTTCCATGACCTTCTGCAAAGTGACAAAACACTTGTCAAGTGTTTGTCATCTAAGTTCTTCAAATGCCTCTTGTTCTGCCACAATAACGCTGTCAGAGTCGTAGGCAGCCTTGCGATATAGTAGAGCTTGACTTGACTAAAATATCCCAAATCCAATACGTTCAGGTCTGCTGATCGAAGTGGCTGGCAGCGCATCTCTATTTTCTAAGCTATCAATAGTCCCTTCTTTCTCTAGCTGGGCATCATTTTCGATGACGTGGGATCCCGCATTGTCTTGCTGGGCCAAAATAGTAGAGCCTCTGCGAGCTAATAAAACAATATTTAGTTGTGAAACAATAAAAAAAATAACGTACTTACCTGGCATCTTGGCTCGAATTGCAGGAAATACTTTGTCGACAAGAAATTCGAGGTAAATCGATCATGTTATTGATATACGCTTAGTAATTAGAGTACCTTTAGGCCGATTAGAAGAGCTACGAAGAGCGTCAACCTTTTTTACATTAGGCCAAAATCCGATTTTGCCGGCAAAGTACTGTCTTTTGTGGAAATCGTATAGGGGCCGCGCTGCGGCAGCCAAAAAAACCATGATTTTACCGAAGTACCTTTTGTTCGGACATGCGCGATAGGGTAGTTGCTCATTCACAGTCAGGTATCACATTTGTATAGGTTAAACCATTTTCATCGACATGTACAGTGTCATTCCGTACATATGATGTATTCTGTACATCCTCGAACCCAAACATTTTAACACAAAATTGTTTTTAAATCAACCCAAAACAGAAACGTTTTTTAGGATACAGGTTACGATACCTAAAGTCAAGACTAATACTCACTGAAGTCGTTTTGGCTTGTGGTTATCCGTAAGCTTTACACGCAAGGGGGCACGGTGTAGCGTGCCATCGAAGAGGTGGCGCTGGGGTGTAGCTCTTGGTACTCCGGTTGCAGCGGCAAGCGACCGTTGAGCTTGACGTCGGCACATAGGTACAGCATGTACCAGCTGTACAGCCTCGTCCAACGTCAAATGCCTTTCACGTTTCGACTGCAGACATTTTGGAGCGGGTATGGCGTTCGCTTCGCCCCGAATGCGCCGTATGTTCTTAATACAGTTACGAGAGAGGTTAAACTATCTCATAGCAGCACAGACCGCCCCACGGAGGCGTTTACCACGGACACTCCGCTCCGCTCGGAAGAGCACAATGGGAAGTCATGTAGTAGGTGATATATCCTGCTTTCCGGGTGCTCTTGGCATCACAGCGATTGTTTAGAAAGATAAGTAGGTGCGTGTAAGCCTCCGCCAACCATAAAATGAGTGGTCTGCATCCAGTCATAACATTACTAGATTTTAAGCCAATAGGATTCGGTTATGTGCGATTTATTGACAACCCCAATCGGCATTTTGAATTGGGTCAGAGCAGTACATTACAGGGAATTACCAACCGTCTTCGTTTGGCAAGCTCGCAGGACGTGCTACACTCGCCGTCAGTCGGTCCTTGCGGCTATCCTGTTGACGACGTAGCTCCGCTAGGAAAGAAAGAGTGTGAGGGGAGAACAATAGCACGTAGCACATCGTAAACGTACCGATATCTTGACGATCTAGATACTTTATAAGCTCCTCCTTGCCGACAAACTAATCCTTGCCCCGCACGCCATTCCTCGTCTCGATGTAGGTGTGGTAATGAATAGTCCGGTTGGACGTATGGACATCCAGCTATCCTTCTTCAGC